TAAACACGTATTTGTATGTAATAACGCGATTTGTACGCTTTCATCGCGTTTTCTAGCCTGTGCTCCTCGTGCTGCTTTGTACGCGAATATACACATATACATATATACGTACATGCATATACATATACAATACACGCAACATAGACATTAGTGTTTCGTCAGGAATACGTCAGAAAAAAGTAAAACACACACACACATACTACACACACAACATCATTACTTATACTACCCACCGTTTTCAACTGCCATGGCGCTGATTATGTGAAAAAGAAAAATCGTGAAATAAATAAATAAATAAATAAATAAAAATAAGAGAAAGGAACGAAAGGCTGACACACCGATCCATCCCGCATCGGATCTTTTTCGTTCAATTTAAATACGAAAAAGCGAATGGAAAAAAATGAATAACAAACAGAAATAAAAATAAATAAATAAATAAATAAAAAAAGAAGAAGAAACAAGAAAACGTAGATCAAGGCGGGAATGGTGCGCCCTGATATTAAAGACTGATGTACAGTTGCGCGCTATTCTCTTCATCGCTTAAATCATTATTCACGCACACTTATACATACATACATGTACACATTCATAGAGACACATTACATATTCACATGTCTTCTTCTCATATGATAACACACCATACACTTATTACATTGAATATTTTGATGTCACACAAAACACACCCATATAATACATATACACATACACTTACCGATTCTATACGTAAAACAAAAATATGGATTCGCAAGGATGAAAGAATGAAAATAACGTTTGGCTGGTTGCGACGTTAATCGAAATTCGAAACTTCGGTGGTTTTCTAATTCTCTAATCTCTTCTTTAATCGAAACCTCTATGCCCTTGAATGTTCTCAAATTTCTCGATTTTTTTACAATTTTCTTTTTTTTTGTAATTCGTCAGTTCTCATCGTAATTTCGTTTTATTTCATCAAACGTTCTTATGGTGATGGGATATTATATAATATTCGATAATTCATCGAGATCATTTTGTTCTTTTTTACGAGTTAAATACTGCCTTTTGTTCTGTCTTGTTTATTTTTTTTTTAATATTTATAAAGAAATAAAAATGGCCACCGATCGAAATTTCACGCGTTTTACGATTGGCGTCGTCGCGTTCTTGATATTCGTCTGATATATATATGTATGCGTAAAACACACTCGTTCGCCTTAACGTCGTCGATTCTTACACGCTAAATCATAATAAATAAAAATAAAATTAAAAAAAAAAAAATATATATATATATATATATAACAAAATAAAAAATATGATGGCAAAATCAACATTTGTGAAAAAGATTTTCTTTCGAAATTTACAATTGGACACGNAAAAAAAATATATATATATATATATATATAACAAAATAAAAAATATGATGGCAAAATCAACATTTGTGAAAAAGATTTTCTTTCGAAATTTACAATTGGACACGTTAATACTGTTAAAAGATTATTATAAATATATATATATTGTAACCGACACAAATATTGTTTACAAATTGTGAGCGTCGTAAGAATTGAACCGATGTTAAATTTATATATAAATTAAAAGTAATAAAACAATAAAAATAAAAACAAAATAAAAAGTAATCAAGAAACACGCGGTAGTTTTGACGAGTAATAAAACGAGATAGGAAAGAAATTAAAATTAAAAAAAAAAAAAAATTAACATTAAAAAAAGAAAAGGAAAAGGATTAAATAAAATTAATCTAATTATTAATCTTTAAAAATGCTACGAGGTAATTAGATAAGTGGGACGGAAAAAAGGCAAACGCATATTACTGGAAAGATATATACAACCGAAAGAACAAACAAACTAACGAACAAAAACAAATTAACAAACAAACAAACAAACAAACATACATACAATATACATACAAAAAAAAACAAAGAAAAGAAAATAAGAAGAATCTTATGTAACTTGTATATTAGTGTATAGAATGTAGAAAAACGAGATATGAAAAAAATAGCCATGAAAAAAAAATCATTTTCGACAATGTTTTTTACAAACAGGCAGAAACAGTGCGAGTATAGTAGAGAGACACACGCGTCGCTATACTATTTAACATTTATAAGTACCGACAGAAAAATAATTATAAACACACACGTAATTAATCACAAAAAAAAAGAGAGCAACAAAGAGAGAGAGAGAGAGAGAGAGAGATTGAAAGAGAGTGTATACTACGTATGTAAGCTTTGCATGAGAGAGAGAGAGAGAGAGAGAGACATTTTCAAAAAAACTTAACAAAACCAAAAAAAGTAATATGAATGAATGAGTGTCGGATATGAAAGAAGAATCGCACTATAATTTTGGCACCAAGGACAATTGAAAAAAGACAAATATTTAATTTCTCATCTGTGCATCCGAACCTACCCCCTTCCCCCCCCCTCCCCGATACCGACCACCTTCGTACAAAATGGTAGTAGACTCGTCTTTTTCATTTGTGTTTTTCCTTTTTTTTCTTTTTTATTATACATTTGTTTATTCTTTGATTTGTCCATTATTATTCCTTTTAACGAATCGATAATTAAAATCGATTGACAATCGTTTGAAAAATATTAATCGGTAAAGATGAGAGATATTTTTATAGTCTTGTCCCTGCGAAATGCCTTGATCCATTTATTTTCTTTTATATATTTGTGTATAATATTATTAATTAATAATTATTAATATTATTATATTATTTTTTTAATTATTATTATTATTATTATTATTATTACTTTTGTTGTGTTGTGCATGTCATCGATACGAAGAAAAAGTAACTTTGTTGTGTCGAGCAAGAAGCATCGCCATTTTTCTTTTCTTCGTTCGTTTAAGTTTTCTTTCACAATTTTGCGTTTTCTTATTTTATCATCGTATACGTTTTTATCTATTAACTTTAATAATTAGTTTCATTTATTTGTAAATTCGTTTACATTTTGCACGGTAAGAAAGATAGATAGAAAAAAAGAAAGAAAGAAAGAAAAAAAAGGATGAACTCGTAATTAAATTCTACGAAAATTGTATATTTACATAATTAAAAGAAATTTAATTTTTATCGAGAATATGAAAAGAAGAGATAAATAATCTAAATTAACTGAAATTATAATGAAAGTTGAACAAAACGGCAAATTAAAGGGAAAGAAAAAAAGTTATTACCGCGTTGATATAATTAAAAGTAATCAATGTTGTTATAATTCAATTATCCGTGAATTATGACACCCCCTCTTTCCCTCTCATTCTCTCTAATTCACAGTCTAATTATTAAATAATATTCGTTCATTCTCAATTAATGTGAGAAAGAGAGAAATGGTCAATTAATACAAAAGTAAAAACATGATTTATCGATTAAATTATCGAACATCTCGTCTATCCTGGCATTGAAATTACTTGATATCTTTTAGAATCACGTATATCTTTAGTTTTATTTTTACAAATAACTACTTTTTTCTTATTTATCTTTTCTATTATTTTCTTTTTCACATAAACGCGACAATATTAAATGTACATACAAAATATTACAATGATAATTTGTAATAAATTATTTAATTTATTGTTCTTATCTTCGTTTTACTTTAAATTATTCGATGAGAAATTAATCAAATTGTTTTAAACGTATTCCAACGTATAATCTTTTCCGAAAAGAAAGGAAAATAGTTATTTATAAATTTTTCATTTTTCTTTTTTTTTTTTGGTATTTTAATTAGTAAATTTCTCGCAATAGAAAGAGAAAGATTCTTACGAAATGATTTTTTTTCTTTCTTATTTACATCGACACATTCGTGACAATAATTTAATATATTTTATTGTATCATTAACAAACTTACGAGCATCCTTTTTTTTCATATCTTTCTTAGGTTTCGTGATGCAAAAAAAATAAGGAAATATTTTATGTGTCGTTTTGTTCCCCCTCTTCTCTCCCTTTTTCGGAACGGAATCATGCAATGACTATTTGTTTTGAGCACTTGAAGTAGCACTTTTTCAACTTATAAGTAGGCATACTCTCTCATACACATACATACTACACAAAACACACAACACACAACGCGCGGATCACTTGAATAGACACACAATACAGACAAACAAACACGCGTAACACACTTAAATGAAAAAAATAATGTATTAATGGTATTCTAAATGTAACATGTATATGATGGCTGTACAAATGTAACATTTTTTTCCATTATGTATGGAGATAATGAAAAATGAAAGAAAAAAAAAAAAGAAAAAAGATATAAACCGACAACAATAACAGTTTAACCAACCAACAAAACAAAAGGAAAAGATTTGATGGTAAAAAGAGAAAAATAAGTGAGGAAGTTTAATGGAACAAGAAAAAGAAAGAAAGAACGCGTGTGTGCGACGATCGATACGATAACGATCGATATTAGAAGAAATCGGCGTTATTATCGATCCATTTATTCACCCGCGTGAATGATTTACCGATAAGCTATTACTACTTTTAATTATTATGAAATACAATTTCTGTAATAACATTATGATATAAAACCATACATTGAATGGCACGTGTTCGTCATTTTAATTTTTTTTTCTTTATTCCTTAACTATCTTTCAACCCTTTTGTTAGTGGCGACCTATATAAGGCTCGTAATATGCGACTATACGTTTGTATAATTTATATGAAACGATAAACGCATCAAAGCAGCCCTAACAAAAGGGTTTGTTCATTTGTATCACTTTTTTTTCCCCTATAAAATTAATTTAGGTCACGAGTATAACAACCCACAACGGGGATTGAAGGTTTCCAATTCTGGGTAAACACAATTTTACTTTAATTTTTAAATATTTAATAATTAAACCATTTAAACGGGGATAAAATGTACATGGTTTTTATTTTATTTATTTGATTTGAAATATTATTTGTATTTCTTTATATAATTAAGTAAAAAAATAAAATGACGCACTAGGATTTCGACAATGTATTGCAGGACGATTATATTGGAATCATGGGACAATTATTACACAACATATGTTTATCTTTAATTTTTATTATTAATCATTTTTATTTTATCATCACTCATACTGTGTCGTTTATTTTGCTTAGTTAATAATAAAGAATCATGAAAAATTGAAAGATAGAAAGAGAGAGAGAGAGAGAAAAAGAGAGAGCATAGCGCACACAGAAATGATTATAATTTATTATAAATTTAAAATTTTCCTTTGAGTATGGATTATTATTTAACCCCATTTGTATCCAAAAGCGGAATAATACGCTTCGCGAGTTGTTGTATTATATGCAATAAGGCGCGGTAATACGAACCGGTTGTCAATTGAACGTCTCACAAATTTATACAAATTTGTCAAATGAATAACATTATTTTAGTATATTTAGAAGCGTGATGCAAATGGGTTTAAAAAAAAAAAACATGGGACTTCTACACGAAACTCCCTTCTGTGATATCGTCGATTATTTTGTTTTCTTCTCTTTTTTTTATTTTTATTTTTTAATAGTAATAACGATATTTTATATACATACATATTCGTGCATATATATACATATATACGTATATATACACATACGTTTACATTCCTATACTCATTCGCTTTCTTCTTTAGAACGTTCCCTGTCGGAGCGTCTTGATTTCTTCTTACGTCTACTCGGACTTCGTGATCGCGATTTGTGTCTACGAGATCGCGACCTTGAACGATGCCTATGCCTAATGAAAAAAAGTAAAAGATAGATTGAAAATAATTTTGGATATGTGTGGATATGGATATATATTGAGAGAAAAAAAAAAGTTTTATAAAATAATATAATTGTGTTTTTTGTAAATACAATTAATAACAATAACAACAATAATAATAATAATAGAAAGAAGAATCTAATGTTTCGCATTCGTCGTCCTACCTCTCTTTATGTCGATACTGCGATCGTGATCTATCGCGATCTCTTTCTTCGTCTCGTGCAACGGAATCTCTTTCTCGATCACGATCTCTGATCATAGAATCTTTTTCTCTTTCACGATCACGCTCTCTGTCTTTATCCCTTTCTCTCTCCCTACCCATCGAGTCCATATCTCTTTCACGTTCCCTATCTCGATCTCTGTCCCTCTCACGATCTCCTCGAATGTCCCGTTGATCTCTAGGTGGTAGCAATGGTGGCATAGATATAGGTGGTACCATCGTGGGTATCGTTTTAGGACCCATATCTTTATCTTCTTCTCCTTCCGTCATTGGAATGGCTAAATTTGTTGGTTGCCAAGTCTATTCGATCAAAATATTAATATAATATTTCTCTATTACACATTTCCTATTGCAATTAATAATATATCATTTAATTATAATATGATCTATACTCACTGGGTCATTACCCCATTGACTATCCTGAGTAGGTTCATAACTTTGATAATATGGATCAGCTTCGGGCATATAGAATGGAGCTGGCTCTCCGGAATATCCAGGAGGTGGCATATCGAAAGGCGGAGGTAATCCTGCTCCCGGTGGTGGTACGCTCATATCTGGAAAACCTGGTTTCCTTGAATATTCTCTCCTATCCGCTGTCATCACTTGTATCACATTTCCTTTAGGCGGTGATTTGTCAAGGTTCCTTCTAGACGCTAAGCCTGAACTTCCTATGACATCTATCGTACCAGCCATTTTTCTTCCTGGAGGGGGACCTGCTCGTTTTGGTCCCATGATACCAGAATATTTACTGTTATCGTTAGTAATTGCTACTTGAGGCACTCGCATACTGCCTGGATTACTTCCACCTCCACCAGCATTTAATATCAATCCTACTCCAGACTCGCTTCTCATTTTTTTCTGTCTTTCGCAATAAGCGCGCCAAGTTTCTTCATTGAAACCATAATTGAAATAATCTGTTATGTCTGCACCAGGTTGTCTCCACGGTTTATCCTCTAATTGATCTAAATTAAATTCATGTGCTGGCATTCCATTGATAACACCGATAGTTTCAAACTCGTCAATACTAAATTTGCCAGGTTGTTTATTCAATTTATCGGGTACTCCTGATGCATTCGTTAGTAGGCCACCTCTTTTAATATTTAAACTACCATATGCTGGTGTCGATTTTATGTCACCGATAACCACATGGACATCATCGTCAGAATCTGAATCACTCGCGGCTTCGCCATCTTCTTTAATAGAAGTCTCTCTTGTATCATTTTTATTAGCATCAGAATCATTTTCATCTTGGATATTATTTAACGAACCCTCTTCTGTAAGTGAACCTGCATTTTCTGACATCTAAGCAAAAATTAAACAAATTCTAATCTAAGTTATATATATATATATGAAATATGTTGCATTGATTATTTATACTAAGATTCATTAAAATAGCGTTGTAAAATAAATGCCGGGAATAATAGGTTATAAACGACGCACCTCAGGTAATCTCTCTGCAACGTTATCATTTTTCTTCTCTTCCAAAATTTGTGATACATCCTGCGTATTAATAGATAACGACTCATTTTGTTGATTCTCAATTAAAACATTCGCCGGTGAGAGATCTTTTACGTCCGCCGAATCTCCGTATAACCATTGATCCTCGTTTTCGTCCGCCATTTTTCTCACTTTTCTTAACAACAATACTGCTAGGTTATATATATTTTCCGGCTGGAACACCCTACCTTACCTACCAAATAATTACAAAATTTCACTTAAACTTTATATACAAATATTTACTCTTACGTCTAATCGTATATATATTTCTTTATTTTTAATAATAAATTGTTAAAGTGAAGTTTTTTTTAGCCACGACAAGTGTAAATTTTCGAAGCCGAAATTTTAAATTAACGTAAATTTATAACATCAAAATCATTAAGAGAAATGTAACTGTTCTTAAAGGAATCAGAAAAAAGGAACATATGATTTGAATATAGATGGAGACACGATTTGATTTAATGCGCATGCGTAAATAATATGTATGCGCATTAAATATGGAAAGGATAGAAGAGTAAAAACAATGCGTAGCAAATGTTGCGCACTCCAAATTTTTGTTATGATTTTCATATTAAAATTGATATTACTTAGCAATTTCCACATATAATAAGAATTAATATTAATATTACACGTATATTATATATTAATATAATATTACATCGTATACATATCGTATGCAATTATAACAGGACGAAATAATGATCGTATGATTATTATTTAATTCTAACTCTGTTAACGTTTATAATATAATTTATATTTTTTGCGCATAAATAATTTTCTTTGAGAAACACAAGAGGGAGCACGTCGGTCGAGATTGTTTTAGCGTATTGTCAAAAAATACAGAAGATCGTAAAAGCTCACAAGTCCCCTTTTTTATCTAACCAGATTCATCTTAGTTACTACCGGGACCACATGTTATGTTATGTTATTTACTATCATACTGTATTCTTTGATAGTATTATACCTATGGAGACTAGACTACACAAGGAGTACGAGCTCCATGTATATAAATGGGATATAAGAGGGCGCCCGTGTTCTATTTGTACCAAAATGGAAGGGGAATAAGGCGGCAGTTTGAAATAGAAATAATAATACGAATCGGTAATCATTTAGGGGTTTTTTAAGTATAAATAATTGAAATTAAATAAATAATTATATTTAATAATCGTAAAAAAATGAGTAAATAGTAATATTAATAGTAAATAGTAATAATCGGTACGTTGCTATTATTCAGAGCAGTACAAAAGCAACATTAGCGACAATAGTGGTGAAAAAAGAAAACTTAAACATATGATTTGCGTGTGACAGATTTTGGCAATTAATACGTTTGAGCTTGTACTCCTTGTGTAGTCTCCATGATTATACCGTCATCGCATTAAGTACCTACTTTTGCCCACTGGTGGTCCCGGTAGTAACTAAGATGAATCTGGTTAGATAAAAAAGGGGACTTGTGAGCTTGTATGTACTTCTGTCTTTGGTATTGTGTTTATTATAAAGTGTTCAAAGTTATGTCACAAAATTTTAATTTAAGTCGTAATTAACAAATGGCAGTGTCTACTTGACGCAACGATTAAACCGATATTTCGTGAATTAATTAATTTTATTTTTTGAACGACAATGCAAATAGCTCGTCTAAATAAATTGGATTTGTTCGCATTGATCTTTCGAGGTTATGGAACCCAAAGGTTAGAATGTGTCAAGTAATATTGTTTGGTTGAAATTTAAATTTTGTTTATGTCTTTCTTTAAAGATGCCATAATTACTACGAGATATTGGATGTTTCGCCAAATTGTTCGCAAAAAGAAATAAGAAGTGCCTTTATCGCATTATCGAAACAAGTAAATGATTTTTTTGTTTTGATTAAAAATAAAGTGACGTTTGTAATATGTTTCAGGAAAAGAATGTTCGGTGTAATAAATATATTTAATACAGAGTTGATATACATTGTTTTCCTTAGTTTCATCCCGACATTATGGGAGAGAAAGGACACGATAAGTTTGTAATATTGCAAGAAGCTTACAATGTTCTCAGTAAGGAACACACCAGGAAGGAATACGACATGAGTTTAAAATATAATACTAATTCATCATTTTCTTCGAAGCCTGATCAAAGAACAAAACCTAATCCTTACCATGTATACAGATCGTAAGTCAATATATCTTAATATTAATATAATTCTTTCATTGCTAGCTGCAACCCATATACAAACCGTACCATACGACAAATCTTAAGATGACAAATAAATAATAAAATTAAAAGCGTAGATTATTTTTTGTTTGTTGATATAATAGTATTTTGTAATGTTTACAAAACATGTTCACAATAATACTACAAAAATGTTGTGGAGTTGCTATTAAGTCGTATTATGAAATTGGCTGGAGTCCAAAGAGTTTTTTTGATCTGTATAGACAACGTTTTATATTTGTTCGTTTAAATATTTTATTGTCAGTCGTAGAGACTGGGAAGAAAGAATGGCAAGAGGAAAATGGGAACCACGTAACGATAATATTAATCGCGAAGGACATAAATCAAGGAATCATCAGTTTCTACTCTACACTGCATTTGGAATGCTATGTGTATTTTTTCAATTGATAATGGTGAATCAAGGATTATCGAGAGTCAATTTAATGCGAATGAAATATCAACGTGATTATAAAGAAATGCACGAAAATTATGGAAGTTTGACGAGGGAAGAAAAAATGCATCTCAAGAAGAAAAAGATGAAGTTGACCGAGGAAGAGCAAAGTAAAAGAGGATATAATGATGAATAAGATGCTTTCGTCAAGATTATTATGAAGTTTGAAACGCATATTTTTTGAGTGTCTTTATTTATTTTACGTTTTTAAATGGTTATTCAGATAATTTATTTATTTTATTTATTAAATATGGAAGAAATTTAAAAAAGTTGACCAGTGCAAGATGTTCTACGGTTATCTTTGCAAACAAATTTTTAAAATCATTTTACGATCAATCATATCCGATTAATTATGTTTTATTTACTTGATTATAATTTAATAAATTTTATATATTTGTAAACAATTAGATTATATATCCATTTGTAAAAGTGATATTTGTTTCAGATGAAAAGTAAAAAGACTACTTTAGTAAGAATTGTTGTAAAAGTCGATCGTACAAATATTCTCGTACGGTTTAGGTTTAGTATTGCTTAATGCCTGATATCAGATGTAAACAAAATTATACTAAAAAATATCTGATATTTGTAGTGTATATATATATATATATATATAGATTATGTACACAGGTACTAAATCGTAGGTTCGTCTAACATAAACGGCCTTTAAACTTCAAACGAGGAATG